CCCAAAGGATGGGATTGACAGCAGTAATCCTGTGGCCTCACAGGTCCTGTGGATCCCATCCTGGCTGCTTTGCTCCCGGGGCACTTGTCTGCTGGCACCAGAAAGAACAGTTAGGACATATGGAAAAACAAGTCATGTAGATGGAAACCGGGGCCTGGGGATACTCAGGGGGAGCAGAGCTGGTGAGGGGCTGGGCAGGGGCCCCAGCTGCCCACAGGAGGAGGGGGGACCGTGAGGTCTGAGGACGTCAGGCACTTGCGGAGGTGAGTACGGCTGTGTTGGAGGAGCAGCAGCTATTGAGGATGGGAATGTGACTGCTGAGTGCATGGGACAGACCAAGACCCAGCTTGACTGGACATAGCAAAACCATCCCAGGTGGAAAACAGTAGCCATTTGTCACCTTTGGGAATTTGGGAAAAGTCATCTTCCTCTCCAGCCCTTTTGCTGACACCCTGTAATGCTCCCCCAGCTAATACTGATGCTGCATAGGCAGGCATGGTGTCCAGAGCAGACCCCTCAACAGCTGCACGGTGGCTTTCTGTCAGCAGCAGGCCCTGCCAAGTCACCAGGCTGCAAATTCATCTCATCCCCCAGCTCTTCTCTGTTCCTCTACTGCAATGTTTTAATTCATCTGCTTCCCAGCACCATTAATGCAATTTAAAAGTCCTGAAGGAGGCCAGTAAAGTAACCCACACCCAAGCTTACAGGTTCAACCTGCTTCTTGTCCTGTCCTGTTTTTTCTTTTTAAAAAAATCAAACCCAACAACTTCTGGCACTTCTCCTGATCACAAGTGGCCCTGGGCCACTGAAAGTCACTGTGGAAAACACACAAATGAGAGAGTGCAGACACAGTGCCGCTGCCACCGTGCCACAGTCCCCTGTCCCAGCGCGGCGAGCCAGCCAAATCTAGGCAGAAGCTGAGGCAGGTAGCTCAGTTCAAGAGGTACCTCAGGAAAAACAGAAATCTCAGGAATCCCAGCAGGTAGTCGTTTGTTACTGTCCATCCTCCTGGCACACCGCCTCTGTAGAGCGGATTCCCCAAGGCACTGCAGTACAGTAGTGCAGAAAAAATAGGCAGGAGATTGCTGAAATGGGGGTGGCAGAGCTGGGAGGTCCCTCTGGAAGATCACTGTGCGTGGAAGTAGATAGGCTTGACTTTTCCAGACAGGATCTTGGGAACCTGCACAGAGATGATCTCAGCCATCATTTCAGGGTAGTCCACGCTCACCATATGTGCCTTAATTAAAAGGTCAAATGTAAACTGATGCAGATCCTTGGCAATCTGGGAAAGAAAGAAAGTTTGTTACATGAGAAGTCCCTGGGCAGTGATTTCTCTGGGGAGATAAGGAGTAGGCATTAGCAGACACAGCCAGCCACAGCTGGACCTTACCCCAGTGGGACACACTCTGCTCTCTGGCCATCGCTGCTTTGCTAGCAGCTGTCAGATGGCAGGTACACGTCTTGAGGATAAGCGAGAGAACTACCCACCCTGGGAGCATTTAGCATTACTTGCCATGGTCCTGCACACTCGGACATTACTGATCCCACAAAAATGGGGATGAATAGAAATGGCACTTTCTTACTCCTACCGCAACTTGTCTTGCTGTGCAGCTGATGCCGACTTCAATCATCAAGGGTTACTTTTTGCTTATCAACATGTAACTGTATGAGCATGGAGCTCTCCCCCAGGGAAAAAGGTTTAGCTCATGTGTCACCAGTACAACTTTAAGTCACAAATAGAGAATTTGATTACACTGCTATAATCAGAGAAGATTCGCTGAGGGCACGGAGATTTTGAGCTGTTCTGATAGGCTGATGATGGAAAAGTACCGTCTACAAAGAGTTTTTCATTGCTAAAAATGGAAGCCCATAAACCCAAGCACTAGAGTGGTTATTGCAGGGAGTGACAGACACAGGTAGCTCACTCCCTCAGTAGAGTTAGTGTCTGTCTTTTCTGTTGCTTAACCTGGGAGCACACTGCAATACTGTCGCTGCAAAGGTGCATAAGAGTTAAAAACCAAACCACAAAGAACCACAGAATCATTGAACAGCCCGGGCTGGAAGGGACCTTGAAAGGTCACTCAGTCCAACCTTCCCTGGGAAAGGGAGCCAGGAGGAGACTATCTAGCACCCTGTCCAGTCTCGCATCCTGAAAACCTCCAGTGATGGGAACCGCCATGATCCTGCAAGGTTGTACCAGTGAACGATCATTCCCACTGTAAAAAGTTTCTTTCCCATATAATTTCTCATGTGTACAGATAGACATTTCACTGTCCTCTTACAGGATGCACGGAGTCCAGGACCTTGGTGAGCTGGTAAAATCGCCGAGAGCAGGAGGTAGGGTTCTTCCTCTTGCAAGCGATGATACGGTCAAGTTCTTTAATGTAATTCATTCGAAGTTCATCAAAGAGCTTCTGGTTCTTCAGGCCATCCACTGGAACTGGATGGAACATGGGAAGGAAACAGTGAGAGCTGCTCAGAGAGTGGAGAAGATAGAAGAGCCAGAGGAAGGCTGGGGAACAGGTCAGTGCAGACATGAGAGGAAAGATCTGCCCACCAGCTCTGCTTCTGCTAGCCCTCACTCTGATCAGCTTGTTGGACTGCTGCTAAGCCAAGGACTCTTGTTCAGTGCTTGCTAAAAATAAGAAGCAATATGACAAACTGCAGCACTATTTTCCTGCTCTGTAGCTGATGCTCGGAGGCCCCGTGGTGACAGGAGCTGGGCTGAGGAGCAACCTCCTGCAGGAGCTCCATGGGGAAATGCTGCACCCTGCAGGGGTGGGATGGGCTAGTTGCAGGGGCTGGCTGGGGCACCTGCATGCTTGACAGCTCATTATCTCTGAGCAGCTCAGACTGAAGCAGAGAGGAGAACATCCACAGCCATCCCGTAAGAAGTATGACTACATCCACAGGGAAAGCATCAGATACCTCTAGGGCAATACAGTGTACAGCAACTGGAGGTCTGCTGAGGAAAGGATGTGAGAACTTACTAATACTGAAGAAAAGCAGAGCCTTCATGCAGAGGAACTCCTGTGGTGTGATCTGAAGCCACCCAAACTCCTGAGAGAGGTGCCGCATCCTGACACATTGGCTGTACATTCTGGATTTGTGCATCCGATACCTGGCAGGGCAAGACACATCACGCATGGCAAGAGGAACAAAGCGCTGCCTGCGCGATGTGCATGGGAGGACACGCTCTGCCCGTCCCAGCAATCCCAGCCTTGCCTGGCACGTCCCTCGTGCCAAGAACCTGAGCTCTGTCACGGGAGATGCTGGCAGCAATAGGCCTGCACACACGACCGGAATGTCTTCCAAACTGCCTGTGTGTAAGTCTCTTCATCCGGAAATGGATGGATACCTGGGACTCGCAGGGCTCGCCTGACCCTCTGCCTTCCTCAAATTGACTGCAATGATTCATTAACTGTGGCTATCTGCAAGGGACAGGAAGCTCAGCTCAGAGCTCGCAGAGACAAGGTGTGCTTTTGCTTGCGGCTGTGCTTAGTTATTGTTCTGAAGCTCTTCTACTTTCATGTCAACAAACCCTCTCCAACTCTAAGCTGACGGTACATAAGACAGAACCCATCAGGAACTTGCAGTTAAAGCTTGCTGCTCTTCCTGCTCGCTCCAGCTGACCAACCAAGCTGGAAACAGAAACTCAAATGCCATTGAGAAAAGGCTGGTCTGTACAGATCAGCCCTTCACACCCAGCACCAGCTCTTGCTAGTGCCCTGATGGAAGTCAAACCCAAGGCAAGGTTGAGGGAAAGGGACGAAGGCCCAGGAGAGATACTGCAACTGTACTTACTGCTCCTGGAGATCACTGCAGAGCAGTTAAGAGCAGAAAAGCAGGGCCCTCCTATGCTTTGTTGGTCAGCCCTGAAAGTACGACTACTACGCTATACGTTTCGTAATGAAATCAAATTCCTTGTCTTTTTCTCACCTAGTCTGACCTAGACAGAACACAATACTAGGTTGTTGTTATTTCGCACTTACTCATTGAAGACCAAATCTGGAGCAAAGTAGAGCATCCTGGAATTGACATTGGTGAAAGATCTCCAACCCATAGCAAACACCATAAGGCCCATCCAAGAGTACTGGATTATTGACATCTGGTCATCCACATGCAGGTTGCGAAATCCTGTTAAAAAAGAAGAGAGGGATGTTACAAACTTACATTGGGTTCCTGTCGTTACCAGGACTGTTTTCCTGCAGATGCCAGCCCTCCTGCATTGCTCTTGTTAGGACAAGGTGGTCCACAGCTCAACCTCAGCTCATCCCTGGACACACAGACACATCTGGGTGGCACAACGAGAGTGTCAACAGCCAGGTACTAACACCCTGATGGACAATCAGAACCAGCCAAAGCACAAACCTGCAACTGGAAGGGAGGAAAGGAGATCCCCAGGCATAAGGAAGGGATAAAGACCGGGTGAAGAACACAACCAGCAAAGCATTACACAGGAAAGCAGTGAGAAGTGGTAATAAATTATATCCTCCCCCTAAGAGTCTCAGAGATCTTCACAAATTGTATTTGAAGGCTTTGCAAGACCCATTGAGGTGAACCAGCATCGTTCTGCAACAGACTGGACAAAGACACAGCAGGATGGGATTCAGTGACTTCTTAAATCCTTTAGGGGACACATTAAACCCAGGGTGCTGGCACCAGGCTAGCCCTGCAACAGCCCTTGTTTCTGGCACTAATTAGACACCCACACCCACTGAAATGTGCCACACGCTCTGCAGTCACAGCGTAAACCCCGAAGTCTCTGTTCCAAAACATTCACAGTCACCACATGAGACAGCATGTCAAAAGTAAGTGAAAGAAACAGCCAATAAGGATTTGTTTGCTCTGTTCTGCTAACAGAAATAAATCAGCTGGAAGGGAACGGGAGCCCCAGCAGCAATACAATTAACCAGATCACATTCTCCAGGCACTGAGAAGCCCTCATTAAGCCATTGCCTCCTCTGGTGCAATTCTGGCACTCCAGAAGATAAGCCAAAACCCTTTAAACCGATTAGGACTCAATAAAATTTAAGTAAATGGACTGCAATGTATAATGCTCAGAGACAAGCAAGTAACCACAAGGCCTGATCTCATGGTTAACAAGCTGCTTCGGTTTCTCTGTCAAATACACAATGTATTTATCTAATGACGATGAAAATGAATATGAAAACATCTGCTGAATCGCAAGCTAAACAAAAATATCAATTAAATTCAAATTAGTATTCCCAGATGGCAGTTCACAGCTAAATCCCAGGCGTGTTTACAACACACACACAAACACCTCCAACACGGTACTTTTTTCCAGATACTTCTAAGTAGGCAAATGTGATCTGGTTTCAAGAAAATCGTTTGTACTTTGGCGAAATATTAAAGCAATTCCAACACCTCCAGTGTATAATAGTAGTTCACTGAGACAAGCATCTGTCTCTTGCTTGGGAAGCTGTCAACTGCAAATGAGCACAAGTCATGTTTTACTGCTGACTAAACCTGCATTACGTTTGTACATTTTCCTTCTAGATCGCATGTCACTGGATTGAAAACCTGAAGTCTGTGCACCAGTAGCATCCTACCGACCCTGAATGGGTGATTTCCATCAGAGGGGTGCTCAGCTACCAGCTGAACATGAACCTTCTGGCAGCCAGAGAAAAACTCATTCACAGCACAAGAATACAGACAAGGCAACTGGGCAACTCCAGGACTTCATAAAATCAGTCGTACTCATCTCTAGAACAAGTCCAAGTTAGATTTTCATATTTAACTACAGTACTGCATGCTATAAGAAAACCCTTTCTATTTATCCAGTAAATCTGGTCAGAGATTAATTCACTGCCTAGTAAAACCTAAGCCATTCACAGTGAGCACTTCCTTGAATTTCCTCCTGCTCCGTACTTGCCACCATTCTCTTTCCCTGCCCAGACTTTCTGAAAACATTGGAAACATGTGAGTTACTTGAAGAGGAACGATGCTGCTGACCCCTGTGCTTGAGACTTTGCAGAAAACAGGCAGCAATATGGTATAGGGAACGCTCCCACACTGGTACCCATGTAATGAGGATGAACCTTTTGCTGGTCTGCTACATACTCATCCCCCTCAGGTCCATAAGGTTGGGAAGTGATACCCTTCTCAACTTAGGAAGTTCTTTTAGGAAGTTCTGTTGGACCCAAGAGGTGCTGTAGGGCCAGAACTGCAAGCCAAGGCATGATAGAGAGGGTGAGGTGAGGGAGAAAGAAGGCAAACCAGAGGTCTGATGTTTAGCTGCCCTCGTGGCTATGTTGTGAGAGCAAGGCCCGTAAGTCCTACCACCAAAGAAGAAACATACTCTGCAAGTGACTTGGAGACAGAAAACATACCCATGAACAGCAAACTATGTAAATTTAACCCTATTTCACACAAATGATCTATCCCTCTTTTGCTGGGTTCAGCATCAACAGGATGAAGCCATTGGGAACACCAGCATCAATGGCAGAACTTCCTCATCCTGCTTGCCATACCCATCCAAACCAGCTCCAAAGCCGCCTCTGCAGGCAGCCAGTCTCACCTGGGGCTGGCTTTCTCTCCACCACCGAGTATCAGCTTTGCAGCATAGCTGGGGTAAGTATTTGTTGCTCCTAATCTTTGCTATGAGAAGGATTTTGGTGCTCTTGTTCGTTACCTTGCAATTACGTTCACTTAAAATATTTATGCAAGCTTTACCAGTGTTTAAGGAAAGGTATTTGAACACAACAGTTCTGCTTGTCCATAAAAACAAGTTCTAGAAACACACTGGTTGAGTTTTCTAAAAGGAATCGTTGCTTCCAGTTTCTGAGCTAAATGCCTTTAAACGAAACTGATCTCCAGAAACCCATAATTTCCCAGAAACCTCCCCCATCCAGACATCTTAAATGATGCATTGCCAGAATCACTGTAAAAGAAAATAAATACAAACTTAATGCCATAATATATTGTTAAAATTTTTAGTATTGGCATGTTTAGAAGAGACCCAAATGAAGATTTCTGTCTACAGAAAGAAATCATAGCAAAAGTAACATTAAATTTACAGATGACTTGAAAAAGATCAATGCCTTTTTGTTGTGAATAATCACAAAGCAGCAGAGTTTGGAAAGAAACTCTTTATATCCTCTCTTGATGCACTGCTGTGCCAGAATGATTATCTTCCTAAGAGATCAGCAGCTGAGCACACGTTACCATAAATAGCATTTCTGATACAAAAACATACTCATTATGTACCTGGAAATTTTATTGTCTGGAGAATGAAAAAAGATGCACAATTAATTGTATCCTTATAGTTAAAAGGTGATTTAGATAGGCCATATATTTGAAACAGAAAAGCAAGCGATGGCCTGGAACACCCCATAAGCACTAACGCCAAGGACACAGAGATTTTGCAATAGCTTTAGTAAATAGGTCCATCTCCCATTGAGTATTTCACCTCATCACTTGTGCACCGAGCTGCTAGAACCATGGAGGGCATTCAACTGTGGTGCTGGCAGCAGAGCCACAGCCCGTCCCCACACATGCAGTCCAGCTATTTTTGATAAACTGTTTTCCTAACAGCTTCGGGAATAAACTGAAGACTTTTCATTTGCTGCCAGTTAGAATGACTCTTAAACTAATGTGCTCGAGTGCTGATCTAAATTAGCTGTAAGGCCTTTAGTGAATTTATGTGTATGGAACACGGAAAACACGAACTCCTTCCACTTACCTTGAAGGGGACAGATTTTATGAGATTTTTTAATTCTGTGTTCCAACAGCTTCCTTGACAAGCTGTGGTTATTTAATCTTTCCAGCAAAATCACAGTTTTGCTCTACCTTCTCCGATGCAGAATTTCAGTTGCACAGGGTCCAAAGGGCCATACACTACTACATTTTCTCCACTGGACAGAGGCTGGTATTGTCACGGCAGGCAAGAAGGATGCAGAAATGCTCCTACCTGATACAGCCTTGTTTCTAGGCCATCACTGAAACCTCGCTGGAAGAAGTGCAGCAACACCTTGCTGCATATTAATCACTCTTGCTATGCAGATGATGTTCAATGATGGATGCAAGAATAATAATCACTTGTTAACCAATATTATTCTATCGCCAGTGTTATCAGGCTGAGGCTACCTCCATTATGGGGGCAAGTTCCCCCTTCTCCCACCAGCAGCAGTCATTGGAAAGCAAAAACCTTTGCCCCTTTACATAGATATATATCTTAACTGACAGACAGGGGTGCTTGTGCATCTTTAAGCCTATGCTTGTGTTAGATGTGCTTCGTTAATGGGGAAAGAGGAAGAGGGGATGACATTTTCCCCCTTGCTGAGGACCACACAGCATTTCCAACAGGCAGGGGATGCAGCAGGGTTTGGCAGGAACACTGGCCGAGATGTGCTGCTTTGGCTGCTGGCCCCAGGTACTGTCTCTCCTCCCAGACAAGCCGGGCTGGGCTGCTGTGCAGGAGGTCAAGCCTTCTATTCTGCTCCCATCGCGCCTCACCAGCAACAGAATTCACTAAACAGCCTCCAGCTTTCCATGAAACTATGTGAACATCTTTATGTTTGATAAAAACAACCACATCTCTCTGTTTTAAATTGCTTTGGTTTTGTTTCCATTTCTCCCCCCATCCGCATTCACCCACATCACTCCTCTCCTGAGTCCAACAAGCGCGAGGCTGCCCAGCCAACCCGCAGAGACCTGGCAAATGAAAACGCTTCTGTTTTATTAACTGAAATGTAATTTAAATAAATTATAGAGAGCAAACCTCCTCTGGCTATGGGGATACTGCAAGACTACCTGAAAAGCAAGGCAGCCGCAGCATGTGCAGGAGGGGCAGTGCTGGGCATGGCTGACCACACTGGGACCCAGAACCTGTCCAAGCAAAGGGGCTGCATGGTCACCACCCACCTGGACCTTCGTAACAGCAACAGTGCTGCAGTTGCTTCTTCCTTCCCCGGAAACCACCAGCAGAATGACTAAGTGGCAAATTTGTGGTTACTACTGTTTAACTGTGCTGCTGGCACACACAAGGGAACCACTGGGGAAAGCTGCAGAAAATCTGGCTTCACACTCGCTCCAGGCACAGTGATGCTAATGATGGGCCAGCACCAGCTTTGCAGCTGGCAGCATCCTACCATAGCTCCAGAAGGGATCCAAGTCCTGAGGAAGGTGTAGTGGTTAAGCTGTAACTGCTCAGATGTAAGATTAGAAATAATCTTGCCCAGATGCTGTCACTGGCACAGTGGGCAGGGGCCCTGGGAGGCAGCAGTGCAGCAACTGGCACCACTGTGCACCATGGGGTTGGAGAGCAGGTGCAGTAACAGGACAATAAAAGCTTTTGCTAAGGAGGTGTTTACAATGAAAAGTGTTTTTCAAAGCACTCTCCCTTTCCATCAGCACTCCTGCAGTTTTACAACCACTGTCAGTCCGGTTTGGTGGTGCCTCTGTGTGCTTTTCTGGAGAAATCTTGATGTCTGATGTAGATAAGCCGGAAGAGAAAGCATGATTTGTTCCTGGTTTCACTAGTTAAGTGAACCTTTTCTGACTCAAGAACTTAAGAAACAGAATGGGCTACTCTGCATTTCAGCATATTCAGACTAACACCCATCCTGGACCACCAGTCCAGCTACTTCCAGGGGGACCACGAAATTTCTGGGAACGTTAAATGTCTGACTAGGTTCATCACCAGGTTTTGGCAAATTTATTCTGCCTCAGTTACTTGCTTTGGTCCTATCACCTCAAACAAACAGCAGGATCCCTCTTTTCTGTGGCATTTCCTGAGGAATGGGGCCAGGGTGAGGAAGGCAGCTCGGGATCATCCCCATCCTCCAGTCTCAGGGATGCTGGAAAGTAAACTGGATGCCACTGCACCCAGAGTGAGCTCAGGCTTCTGTAATTTCACTTAGTTGGCAGGATTATGACTTGCAGCCGTACAGACTGGTGACCTCCATGCTCAGAACCAAAGAGCATTCTCAATGAAACCTGTGTATCACCAGCATATTTCCATTAACAGCATCTGCTCACTATTACCATTTGGTAAACTCCTGACCCTTACGTACTCCTCCCATATCACGACTAGCAGTGTCTCATAAATATATCTGTCCAACCTGTTGCACAAGAGCAATCTGACTGCTCGGAAAAAGCCTTTTGGGATTTTGCTTGTATCCCTTTTGCTACTTTACAATTAACTGGCTCAGGAAATATAAAAATGGTGAGGAAGGATTTCTCCCACATCTGCAGCCTCAGCTCTTTTCAGCCCAGTTTCCCCCATCTCACTTTCCCATCATGAAGCAGCACACTGATGATTCACCTGGGGAGTTTACCCTTTTCACCACTTCGTGTGGGTTACGGGACTGGCTTAAGAGAAAACTTCTGCAGGTCTGGAGAACACAGCCCTGGAAGTGGAGTAAAACCCCTGCAGGGAGTGTGGGAAGAGAGCAAGATCCTGAGCCCCTGACCAGCAATAGCACAGGGAAGAGCCACAAGCCTACATGGTACCACGTGCCGGGGTTATCAGAACCAAAGCATAAGTTTTGACATACTTTGTCACCCCTTAGTCACCTCTCCCATCAACCAGCCACACAAAGGAGACAAAACCTGATGCTGCTGCAGCCTGCTGCATGGGCATGTTGCTCAGGCAGGTTTCCCATGAATATGCTCCCCAAGGAACCGTGTGATGGGATGGAAGGATTGTGGGCTGCAGACCACCTCATTTGAACCCACCCCCAGGACGCATGCAGGGGTTTTTAGGAATGTACCAGAGAAGGAGCTGGAGTTCTTAGTTTTTCTCCTTACCTGGCAAAGCCTTTGCCCATTTGACCACATACACCAGCTGCCTCTCCCCGAGCTCATTCAGACTCGTCAGCAGGTTGGAGAAGGAGTCCGGCTGGCTGTTGTCATGGCCAGCACACACCACACCAGGCTCAATGGCCTCCAGGACGTTGAGGAAAATGGGCTGGCACTCATACCCATCAATGCGCGTCATCACCATCTTGGGAGCTTGCTCCTCTGTGGGGCTGGATGAGCTGGCTGCCTCCACTTCATCTTGTGTCTTCAGGTTGCCCAGCTTCTTCAGCTTGCGGGCTGTGGGAGTGACATACTTCAGTGTGAGGCTTAAAATTAAAAAAAGAAGCTTGAGGTTTCTTGGTCTCCAGCTCCAACACTTATATTTATGAGGAAAGGAAAACTGACGACCAGCAGCTTCTCCTTCGGTGCGTGCCACCCGAAGAGTGCCCCAGCATCACAGACCTCATGTAGGGGCAAAAGGGACACTGTGCAAGGAAATTCATTAATATGGAAAATAACAAGCATCATTTACATTCTCAGCCGTGACCGGTATCACCTTAAATCCCACTTAGAAATGGAGAGAAAGAACCAAGGAAAAGAGAGAAGAGGTGACGAGATTCAAACAACTACTCGCACGCAATTAAAAAGGGAAGCAATGCAAGCAAATAAACTCAGTAGATGGTCGCATTCCAGGGAAAAAAGCCATTGCACTCAGATGCTCAATGGGATTGTTCCACTCCAGGCCGGACTGGAAGCAATGTAACCAAGATAAAAAGCCCTTCTCCCTGCCTAGGGCTCCTGCAATGCCTGCTGCCTCATAACCCAGCTCTCCTAGCCGGGTCACTACTCTACAAATACATTATGGAAAATACATTTTTAAAGGAGCAGGTAGCTACATGGCTGTTTCCCTGAAGTTTCCCCATACCCCTCCAGCAAGGAGGAGACTCAAGTAGGGGTGGCCTTGGTCTGCTGGCCGGCTTCAAGAGCAACATCAGCAGAGCAGGCTTGTGGGGTTAAAACTGAAGGCAGCCAGCTTTCAGCACCCATGTCACTGTGACAAAGGGTCTCTCCTGTGCACCCAGCTCTTAATTGCAGATGATCATCTGCTAGGAAAGATACCAAGGAGCTTCAGGTGCATGACTTGAGAGTCTGTGTTCATCTAATTTGGTATCTGCATGACAGTGCTCAGCACAACACAGGCTGGCAGGTTACTGCAGACAGGAACAGCTCTCCCCCTGTACTACAT